ATTGGATTTCTAAAATATGTAGCAAGACGGACAGCCTGATCAATTGTTCTTTTAAAATCGGTTGATTCTTTAAAGATCTCTCCAACACACAAATTTATTTGATACGCATAACATGGTAAGAATGCAATTGATCTTTGTATGATTCTTAAACAACACCTATAAAAAAATTAGTAAATAAATCTTCACTCTATTTTAAACTAAATAATGAAATATACCTAGCTGCTGCATATGCGCCTGCACTATCTGTTACAACAGCAATAGGTTTAATTGATTGTATATTTAGTTCAGCAAACATCATATTTATTTTTTCAATAACCTCTATATGTGTTTCACGTTCTAGACTTATATTTAGTGCTTTCCAAACATATGATCTACCTTCTGATGTTATAATTACTACTCCTAACAAATGTTCATTTTGAACATTAGTCCAGCCATCGAAAGTAAGCGTAATACCAACTCGATCCTCCTTTAACATAGCTAACATTGCCTTATCAGATTCAATGGTTGCATCTTTTAAAATTCGTCCTCCAAGCACACGTCGATCAGGAAGCTTAATTAATGGATTAAGAAACTCAAATAATTCTACTGCCTCAGGCTTGTTTACCCAATGCAGTGCCCACCCACAAGAAACTGTAAGCCGCAAAAGAAGTTGATGAAATCTTTTTATATCTTCAGGTAACAAAGCTCTTACGATATAATCATCCATTGGCCCAAAAGATGATGATCGAATAATTTTTGAAGAAGAAGAATACGAAGTCGAGGATACACTTCCATCAGTTTCTACAAAAAGTATAATTTTTCAATAAATGAATGAGCAAATAAATAAATAAATAAATAAATAATACTTTACCTCTTGTGGGAGTATCAACTAGGCTAAAAATTTCCTTTCTTTCTTCAGCGGTGGTTTCAGCAATAAAATGTACACATTTTTTCAAATGTAAAATAATTCGATCTTTTATATTTGGATAAAAGTTTTTAGTACCTTCCGTTTGACCTAATTGGTTTATGCAAGGTTTACAATATACTTTCATATTATATTTATTTATTTTTTCAGTAGTTTTAATGATATATTTATTTAAAATAGCTGGTAAAAGTGGTGGCATGGCGATTATAATAATATTTGCTTAAATTGAACAAAGAAAGGTATGTATCAGATTATTCGATACAAAAAGATGTAGTTTATTCAATAACTTATTGTTATTTAGAAGAGAAAGTATGTATCATTAAGTTCACAATCAAAAAAAAAAAAAATTTGCGTATTAAAAGTTTACGTATCGGTTGTCAACACAAAAAAAAAAAGGGTTCAAGTCTGATTCACAAAAAGAAAAAAATTTGTGTATGCTACTTGAATAAAAGTTCATATTAGACTACTTAAATACAAAAAAAAAAGCCACAAAAAAAATTAATTTCAAAATTCCTAGGTTCAAGATTCTTCATATTCGTTCAACTATGCAGAAGAAGACGCAATGGCACAAAATGTAGTGGTAAGTTGGATATTATTATAATACTGGTAAAAACCTGTAATGCGAAAGTATTTATTTCGTAATAAATGTGCGCCAAATCCATAATTTCCTTTTGAATTTAGCACACACAAAGACACAAACGAACCCTTTGTTACAAAGGTTAAATATACACTGTATATTCGTTCTTGGTTAAGTGCGAAAATCTATTTTTATTCTTGGTTAACCATAACGGTATATTAGAAAAAAAAAAAAAGCTGTACGTATCAGTACAAATTGCTTACATATAGAAAAACAGGTCCCACAAAAAGAACAATAAAGCTAACGAATTAGGGTATTTGTCATGTGTAATACGTACAAATTTATTTCTGTTTGAAATAAAGGCGTTGTTCATACATATCCCAGATTAGCCAGTAAAATTCTTGGACGTTGGACATCGTCCAAAAAATGTCCAACGATGATCAACCAATAAAATTCTTGGACGTTGGACATCGTCCAAAAAATGTCCAATGATGATCAACCAATAAAATTCTTGGACATTGGACATCGTCCAAGTCCATGTCCAATAATTTATTTGGATATTTGTCTATGTACATCTTTAATTATATTGGATATTATGGACATGAACATTGGACATTGTTCAAAATTGTCCAAGTCCAACCATTTTACTTGGACATTCGTCCAAGTACATTACTGGGTAAGAATATACAAAATCTAGGTCAATCACATATGTGGGAATGTTGACGGCTCTGGTGGGGGATAAATGGTTTGTATACCTAAAGTTCTAGTCCTAATACCAATATGTAATATGTATGTGTTTACAGCACCACTATATGTCAATCCACTTAAGTATTAATAAAAGTTTGGGGCGGGTGCTACACCCGGGGTATTCCCTAAAAATTAAAAAAAAAA